TGGATAGAAATTCACCGCAATTTCCTATCGACTCAGTGGCTGCAGCGATGTGCATGGTAGTACCCTGCATTGATTTACTCATGAGATTGACTTGGAATCAGTGTTGCCAGAACTTTTTGGACGAACCGGCTAAATTGGCGAAAAAAAACCGGCTAAAAACGGCTAAACTGTTTCAACTAAATTTCACATGTTTTATTTAAATGCATCACAGGTAGAAAGACTAACTATTTCTTGGAGAGACGTTGCAAATTCAAGTTGGAAAAAATTTTGCCAGCAAGAATTCGCAATTAGGAAAAACATATGATTGTGGCACATGGTTGGATTTTTTTTCGACGATAATTTTAACAAACAAGTTCGTTAAATTTAAAAATGTACAAACTTGAGCGATTTTTAAATGAAAAATTTAAGTAAATACTTGCTTACTTAATTAATTTAGTTAATTCCAATGATTTGAAAGGTACTCGGCTGAAAAAACTGTATTCGAAATAGGAATGCAATCGCAACCAGAGTCGATTTAGGAAACCCGACAGTTACTACGATAAAGAAATTGAAACGTATGTTGAAGAAATTCGGATTAACAAGAAATATACATGTAGATCCTGTTTTTATACTATCTACACAAATTTATTATGTTTGAAACGCAACCGTGGACCCTAGCTGCCAGGGAAACTTGCAAATTCCTGCAAATTTGTGTTCGTGCAGAAATTTGCAGGTTTATCTTTTTGATAGAGAAGTTGGGAGCATTTTTTCTTACTACCTGCTATTTTGATTGATAATTCTCGCTGGATTTTCGAAGAACAAACCTATTATCTTCCAAGAGAGTTTTGCTTTGGTTTTCATTTTGACGCATTTCAGTGTTGGTTTTTTTAATTCAAGTTGGCGTTCGGTTTTTGATATTTAAAAAAGTTCTCAGCAAAAAAATTTGTTTAAAAAAATTCATATGTGTACATAGTGCTTGAAAATATAAATTTTTCCCTTACCTTAAACCTTTAAGCGTGGGCAACAATGATGTTTCGTAATTAGGGCAGAACTGAATATGCGCTTTCTGAGAAGACAATACCTGTAATATTTATTCTATGGGGCACTATATCCAAACACAAACGCGTGTTAAACAAACTGTGAAACAATTTGTTATTTTCTAAGCTTGAAAATAATACTTCACGCTTAAATTTAAGACATTCATAACAAATATTTTATGAAGAAAACCGCCGCTACGGCCTTCTTTAGAAAAAATAAGCGAAATCGGCCAAAGTTTATATAACCTTGCCTGACATGAAAATTTTCTCCGCGATAAGGCTAGTAGTCATTTCTAACAGATTTTGGGTCGCTTAATCAAAAATGGAAGCATATATATATATTTGAATTTTGAGAAAACAAGTGAAATAGCAAAATCGGCTAAAAACGGCAAATTTTTTTTTTACAAAACGGCTAACAAATCGGCTGCCAGCTAAACCGAAATTTCTCCGGCTGTTTGCTAAATCTAGCCGGAAAACGGCTAAAATGGCAACACTGCTTGGAATGGGGGTCATACCAAATGGCCAGGGGATGAAAAATTCAAATCGTATCATTTTGTCAGCCAAGCATTTGGCTTCATGTTGGGCAGGATATTTCAGATCAGAGGAAAAGAAAATCTCTGTTAGAGCTTATTAAATTTCTGTCGCCTGACATTTAATGACTTTAACCATGTCCAGACTCTTTTCCCAACGAGTTGTGCATAACGGTTTGATGGTGAGTTTTCGGACATGATTTTTGAAAATGGTCCATCTCTGGGTAAATGCTCAGAATAGAAAGTAGATGCGCTGAAGTACACCAAAAAGTATATTCTGGATAAAGAGGCAGCATCGCCCTTCAACAAATTCAAGGAATGCCATCCCCATTGTACAAAGGGTACTTTCGCATTTAGCTCGAGGACCCCGGCTTTATCTCCTTTGTCTTGTAAATAACTGATATTTATGTTGTTGTTTTCAAGAGTTTCGAGTAGAAGATTAGTCATTCCCCACCCGTCCATGAAGAAAATTCACATTCGAAAATTGTATGCAATAAAAAAATAAGACGTCAGCTCAGAATTTTGCGCCCCCCCTCAGTTTGGCGCCCAGGGCTACCGCCTCTCTCACCCAGCCCTAAAGCCGGCCCTGTCTGCACATCAGTATCATGATATATAATGGGGTTGTTCACACTTGCCTTGTTATCAGGTTATCTGGTTAAAAATTATTATCCTGAAGTGTATTTTATTGTTGTACAACCATACAACTACAAATATATCTTAAATATATATATAAATATATATCTTAACCCAAATTGTCCCAGATTATATTTTTTTAGATTTTTTTGCTTTCTTCTATTTACAGGGTAAAATTAGCTTTAAACTAAAATAAAAAGATGACAAAACTTTGGGAGTAGTATAGTTCGTCCGATATCTGCTGTCGCCATATGGCAATACGGGCGTATTCCAAATGGACTTTTAGATTTTTCATTTATAAGCCTTAATACATTTGTTGATAATAAATGCATATTCTACGTGCAAAGCGCATATTAGAGTTAAATTTTGGTAGGAAAAGTAGCAAAAACATTTAAAACATAAACCCACGCCACATTTTACATTGGCTACTCGTCCTATAGTTTTACATGCTTCACCAGCACAACGACGTTTTTTGTAAATTTGAATGGGTAAGTGGTTTAGTCACAAGAAGATACAAGGTGCCAGTGTAGAGACCCCTGAGGCTAGGTAGCATCGAGCTGTTAACTAAAGACCACACAAAGTATTTGGGAGTAGTCTTGAATAGTAAGCAGCTGTAGAATCGCAATGTTGAGTAAAGGGAGTTTCAGCGCTCCGCAGCACTGTGCCAAAGAAAGATTGCAGAGTTATTACCAGATTGCTTACGGGGGATATCCTGCACAAAAAACTGGTATCACTGGCGTGGACAGGTAGGTGCAGGAAGTGTCGTGAGCGGGAGACCAGGGAAACGTTGAAGCATCTTCTCTCCCGATGTCCTGCACAGTCAAAAATAAGATCAAAACGCTCGGGAGCCTACCGTTTCGAGAAGTTAGAGCCCATTTCAAAAGTAGAGCTGAAATTTCTACTGAAATTCGCAAAATGCGTTGACATCCTTTGTGATGTCTTCTTTAACGCGTAAAAACGACCTTAAAATGGCAACACTAAAGACCTACCGGCCTATGTGCGGCTCAACGCCGGCCAGATTAACCTAACCTAGCAATTATTTAACGTACATATACATAAACATTTTTAAGTACATGGTTTTTTTTACACCCTCCCATACATGATATATTTTGATAATAGATAAAAAGGGGGACAGTTCACATTACGCCCCGTGTTGCCGTATGGCAACGGGCTTAAAAAACACTTAAATCAAGATACAAAAAAGAAGGTAGTTTCATTGTCACTTTTCGGACGCAGTACTAACTACATGACAATTAAGAAGATTGTGACCTTTCGTGCTACCATACCTAATCCTCAAAAAAATAATTACAAAATTGAAAGAAAATTTTTCTTCGATTTGAGCCACAAAGAAAATTTAATTTCATACATCGTAATATTTGCAAAATAAGCAACCAATGTCTTCTGTGAAATCAAAGACCGGTAACTACATATGTTGGCCACCCAAAAATTATTTATTATTAAATTGGTTTATTATACAGCCAACCATCGAAAATAATTTTGATGTGTCTTGCAAACGATAGAATTGTCTCTATTATAGTTATGGACCATGATATTAGTAGACGTTTCCCAATAATTTTTATTAAGATATGTATACGCAAATGCATTCCGATCGAGCTGAAGATTATGATAAAATGAAAGATTATGTACAAAAGAAAAAAATTTAACGTCATCCGCGATTATCAAAGAGTTAGCGAATTCAAAACAATTTGGCAAATAATTTATGCATAATAATATTCTGTAACACATTAGCAACAATTTTCGGATCGCTATTGTGTATTTCCTTGGTATTTTTTTACTACTTTTAACATTTGTTTTATGAAATGGCGAAAAAATAAGAAACGGTGTATGTACATTAGCGTAGGCCGAAAATCCGCTTTTTTAGAATTTTGATTGATAATAGCAAAAACATGGTTCATTGTGCTCTAACAACAATCTATGTGAAAGATGACAAATTTTAGTCAATATCTTAGGCTCGCCCAAGTCCATCAAAGTTTAAGTGCTAAAAAAATGTTTCTTAGCTTACTTCGATTCTCTACAACAAGGTAGGTATACCAAATTATGTAGGACTAATACTTTCGAAGATACTTGCAATTTTAGTAAAAAAATGTATTAATTAATGTATTTATAAATTTTTTTTTTTAGCACTTGAACTTTGATGGACTTGGGCGAGCCTAAGATATTGGCCAAAATTTGTCATCTTTCACATAGATTGTTTTTAGCGCTGTGAGCGCTGTTGCACCCTTGTTGTTGCAACCGCTGCTGTGGCTGTTGTTGTTACTGAGCGCGTTGTTATTGCTGTAGCGCGCTGTGACCGCGGTTGTGGCGGTGTTGTTGGCTTCGCGCGTTAGTGCCCCGCTGCTGTGGCGGTTGCTGTTACTGTACGCATTATTGGCTCGCTGTTGTGGCGTTTGATGTTGTTGCTGCGCAGGTTGAAGTGAAATGGATCTGCTGGAGAAAAAGATTAATAGTTAGAGCGACTCAGATGGGAGATTTGAAAATAGAGTGAAATTTGTATTGTGACGTAGAAAATGTACGCGCGGGTTAGGCCATCCACAGTATTTTTGCGAAGCACACCTACCCCATGAACAGCATTGGGCCACGTTCAGAAAACTATGTACCCTCCATTCTATGGTGACTGGTGGGACGGTGAAAAGAACTTCGCCTTACCCCCGTGCACTCAAGGATGAATTCAGCCAAAACACTTAATCTTTACGAACGATGGTTTTGTGTTGTAAAGTATGAATTAAACGCTTTCATTTTCAATAAAAATCGCGTTTATATAAACTCATAGAAATATTAATATAATTAAAATTAGGACTAGTGGGACATCTCCTTGTGACTGGTGTGAGGTAATTATGCATGGAATAAAAGCCTCCATAGACAAAAGCACCGTACTATTAACCGAACATTACCCCAGTTGCTGTTTGACAACTTACTTTGTCA